ACAATTGAGAAGACAAAATAATACCAATGAAGAGACAGTAAGAGAGAAAGAAATAGAATTTACCTATCGGGTATTAAGACAGATTAAGTCCATTGCAAGTGTAGTGATTGAACGAACTTCTTCTGTATGCAGAGTTCAGCGCTTAGCAAGTGAATCGCCGTTGCTTCTGCAGTTTGAAAAAGTCTGGTTCGCACACCTTTAGGAAGACTACTTCTTATTCTGTAGACGACTTTGAAGTTTGTTTGAGGGATGTAACTTGGTGTCCGGATTCTATCAGATGTCCTACGATGGATAATCACCTTTAATAATAGTGATAATGATAGTTTGCTTTATTCCAAAATAGTACCTGTGATACAGAATGGAATTCTCAGCATTTTACTACAGTATTGCATCCAATTTGTACATTAAGAATAAATAAAGTTCAACATAGAATTTAGGGTAATCTCAGTTAGCTATAACAACAACATATTGGCATGTTGGTAGCAAAGCCAAAATTGAACAGAGTGTTTCAAGGTGTTAGAAAAGTAAATGCTAGCATATTTACTGGCGTAAGCAGAAGAAAGAAACAAAGCTGCACATAACAGAAAAAAGAAAAAAAGAGAGAGAAAAGGAAAAGAAAGAAAGAAAAGACGTTGTACCTATAAATGATATGAGTTGAAAAAAGACGAGATCCAGTTGTTCTACTGACTATTTAATAAGTTATAGGTATCACTCCTAATGCTTTCTTTATCGCACAGAACACGAGCTAAGTAGGGTATGGTTGAGTTTTTGTACTTGCTAGTGTGAGCATATAGTTTTCTATATAGGCTTCTGGTTCTGCCTGATGAGATACATGGGAGAGTTGTGAATGAAGAGGGTGTTGTGAGTTAGATAGATAGAATGGATTTTGCCCATTTTTCACATGAGGAGTCTAAGTGCCTGTCGACCAGAATATTAACAAACTGGTTAAGTGGCACCCTGCTGACAACCTTTAACATCCTGCGTAATAAGGTAGCCCTGAAAAAAAAAATAAAAGGGGGTACAATAGAGAATAATAGGCAGAATACGGGAGTTAACGAATTGCAGGAGTAAGGGTTGGGTTATATCCGGAATGTCTTAACTTCTTGATGTAGAAAAGGTTAATTAATAATTAATTTTTCCTTCACGTTCCCAGTGGAACATAGGGCACCCTCAAGCTAGTGGCTTAAAATTTCTGTGGCAGTGTTTTTTAATTTTTACAGGATTGGGTTGCTAGCCTCATGCCCAACCTTTCCTCTTTACCAGCATTATTTCTGGCTCAGTGAGGTAAAGGAGTGCGCCGGCCGGGGATCGAACCCCGAATCATATGCATGTTCGGCGAGTGTCCTAACCGCTATACCACCGACGCACTAAAAGTGCTTAGCTCGAGGCCTCGCCGAGACTCGAACTCGGGTCGCTGAATTCAGAGTCCAGAGTGCTAACCGCTACACCACGAGGCAAAAGGTAAAACGGAATATTTTCTTAGAAATCATCAAGATATGAAACGATCAATAGGGTAAGATCAGCAGATAGAATGACGCCTAGGTATTTAATTTCTGACATGGTGTCTATTTCAGTGCCATCTGTTGTTGTGTTGAAGCGTCAAAAAGTTGGACGAAACAACTGTCTAATACACAGTAATTATCAAAGGTTCTCTATATGATATAAGGCTTTTTTTACTAACTTGATATATATATATATATATATATATGTTATATATATATATATATATATATATATATATTGGGTTAGCATACTGAACATGCATAGCACATATGCACACATAAACAAACAAAACATAGACGGTTATTCATAGCACACATGTGTTGTTTTATTTGATGATGGTGGTGATAATGATGATTCACTTTTGTAGGTAACCTTTTCTATGCTGTTTAACTTGTTACTTTTTTGATTTTTTATGTATTGATTATGGAATAATTTGTTCATCTGTCAATCAGCATCATCAGAATCAGCACTACCATCAGTTTCTATCCATGAATATTACATGCATATATTGTTCGTTCATATTGTACATATCAAAAGAAATCGAAGCTGTTTCTATAGTTCTGGTTGTTGTAAATTTGTGCCTTACTATATTTGTTTGTTTTTTCATGTGTGTACTGCTTTATGTTGTGTTTTGACATTTACTTTGAGAGAGAGAGAGAGGAGTGAAAGGGATTTTCACACTGTATCGTCTCTCGCACTCACTCTTTCTGTGCCTCTCTACCTCCCTCCATCCCTCAATTGTTTTTTTTCCCGCTTTCTTTCTTTTCCTTGTCATTTCTCCATCTGTCCGTTTTGTATACTCTGCTTCTCCTTAGTCTGAAGTTACCGTGTTTAAGAGAGGGAGGCGAAGGGGTGGGGAATAATTTACCCTGTCTTAAAATGATGTCTTATTTATTCTTTCTTCTGTTATGTAATACTGATCATTCAGGTTTTATTTACCAACATAAATCGTGTTCTCATGTATACAAGTTTACAGCCTTATCGATGATTGAGAGTGTCGATCACAATTTCACTAGATCCTAATGGTGAAATCTTTGCATGGATCCAAGAACCTCGTGTGGTATTCGCCCAATCACATCATCTTTGGCGTACACTTGGTATTCTACTATCCGTCCTTCTGGACTAGTGTGTAACATAAGCGCTTAAAGTGTAAAATATGAAGAGTGTCAAGGAAGTTTAAGCCTTAGTTCCTACTGTTTGCGAAGACGCTTCGAATCGATGATTATTCTAGGTATGATTATCGACTTTAACTCTAAAACATAAGGATCGAGAGGCATTTGTATTGTTCGGCAGTTAAAATCAATACTCTACAAATTCTATCAACAAATGTTGTATTACAAGGAACGTATTGTACTTTTATTCGTATTCTTTTGTCTTCTTCCAACTTGTATACGATTGAATCATTCGCGCCTTCGAGTTGGCCGTTAATGGCGACCTAGGCAAATGAACCAGGGTTCAGTGTTCACATTCATTTACAAAGAGCATAGTTATGTTTGCGTTCTGCCTCTTGTTTCTGAGTGGTAGAATATGGTGGGTATTACTGGGATTATGTGTCTGTGGCACAGAGGTTAAATTCTTGCCGACCACGTCTCATGTTGTCCGGGGTTCGATCCCTCGCTAAGTCAGTAATAAGGCTAGTAAAGAGGGAAGGTTAAGCATGAGGCTAGCAATCTCATTGCGTAAAAATTAACACCCCTTCTAACGAAACTTCAAGCCTGTAGCTTGAAGGCGCCCTGTGTTCCAGTACTGGGAACGTAGAGGAATCAACAAAATTTACTGAGATTTGATGTAGTGTGTTTAATGCTTTCCCAGATGGCTGAAATAGCCAGTTAGGGTTTGGATAATTCATATAGATTCGTCTATGTAATCTGATACACTCGGCCATAAACGATTAAAGTGACCGCCTATCTGACTAGCAAGGAGGATACTGATTATCATTTAGGGACGTATATTATGTGTTTTTTCGTTAATATAACCTTTTATTGATTCTAAATACCGTTTGAACTTCAAGCCTACTATTTAAACATCTGATCTGATCATATCTAATTATTTTTCAACACAAGTTTACTTCAATGATGGGTCGGTATATTGAACAACCATCCTAGTCATCTCAACCTGTGAATCTTCATTTCTCATGTGTATAAATACGAACTATCCACTGAAACGAGACACTTCTTTTCCACAAACCTTAAATCTTTTATTACTTGTTAATTTCAACGGTCATTTCTCGTGGATGTACTAAAATGGTAAAGCAAAGTAATTTACAGTAATATAATTCGTAAACCGCCAACTACCGCTTTCATTATATCTCTAGTATTGTTTCCTTGTATTCCAATCGAAATATCACATCTCCACTTTGTTTTTTTGTTTTTTTTTGCGGTCCTCTTTAACTAGCCCCACGATTGCCTATAGTCTCTCATCTCCTCGTCACACAGTCTCCTGCATGTCACCATCGGACACGCCTTGATCTCGTCGCTGCCCTTGAGGAGCTCACTCGATCGATAGTGTGACGAGCGATGTCACTCAACGGTCTCCTCAGTGTATGTGTGTGTGTGTGCAATAGATCTTCATCTTCTCTTGCATATTCGTTGAGTAATACGTTCTTGGTTGATTTATTTCCATAGTTGCCATCACTGACATACGCGTATTTATTGGATGTTTCCCACCTCACCCCACCCCACCCCTCAGTGCGTACCATGTGGAACATAGGGCTCTAGGCTCGAGTTTTGAATTTTGAACACTGGTGATACCGGTATCATTTTAATGGGTTGGGTCGCTAGTATCACACCCAACTGTCTCTCTTTCTCTAGTTTACTGGTTTACCTTTTTGAGGTTTTGGAGTTTTTGAACCAGGAGTATCTGTCTGGCTGGTGAACTTTCTATTGTTGGACCACTGAAGCACCCGTATTTTTCTCCACAGGTTGTTGAAAATCTTAGACATTTCTTCAGTTTATGAAGAACTTAGATGGTCTGCATTGGTTATTGTGTGATTTTCCAGTTTATGAGTGATCTAGTTTACTGAAGTGAAATAACTAATAATGCATGCGATTGTTTCAGTCAAATTATATGACAAGATCAGTCTTATTACCCTGAAAAAGTGATGTTATTCAGTTGCTAGTTGCACTGGGATCTAGGATGTGAGTTCTGTCCTGTTCGTAAACTGACCATCTGATGAATGTATCTGCATCCCCAGTGAATGGGACTCTAACTGACTACCTACCTACCCGGGATGAAGTGAAGAAGACTCCTTGTGTGAGGAGTAAATAAGAGCCAATGGACAACCCTACACCCAGCAAAAGTGAACTGCGGAAGAAACTGTGACTTTTCAATATGCCAATGGGCCTCCTATGCTCCACATAGAGGCACCTAAAGGAGAATAATAATGTTGGGGTGAAAATGATTCAACCGTTGAAATGAGTTACTCTTGTTTTACTGGGTATTTCGTAACATCGTGTCTCATATTATTATTATTATTATTTTTCTTCCATTTTCTCTAGACTAATGCAAAAGTATTTCAGAAAGAAACAAAGAATTTCTGTCAATATCTTGAAAAATATACCTCAATCAAATCTAAAGAATACACAGAAGATGTAAGTAGCTGTGTAAAGACAAATTAATTTATTCTGACATCTATAAAACACAAAATAATTGAGCATAGAATATTCTTTTCGATAATTTCCTCTTCTGGCTCTACAATTATGTATATATATATCAATGGAATATTCTAGAATAATAGTCAATAACAATATTAGTGTGCTTTTTAAATACTGTCGATTTATGAAGTAAGTTTAATGGAATGAGGTTAAAGGAGCATTCCCTTCTGCTGAATAACGCTGTGTCTTCAAAACCATCCCTAATATGCGTTTGGGAGTAATAGGTAAACTACCAAATTTCGCCTCTTCCATGTGTATTTACCAATCTGCCTGCGCCTGTGGAGTGAGCCAGTTAGCTGCTTAGGCTATACAATCAGGCATGTTCCTCGTCGGATTTCCGAACATCACCTTGCATAGTGGTTGGTTAAGTAAAGGACAAACAAAATATATATTCACAAAGCGCTATTCTATCTCATCTTGTGGATACAGAACACAAGATTGATGTCAACAAGGCGGCTTTCAAAGTCATTTACCACATACCAACCAACAAATCTCATTTTCTCCTTAAGAGTTTGGTTACTGAATATTTCTGAGGCTGGTTGCTTGGATCCATATTAAGAAGCTTAATTTATGTGTCCAAAAGAAGCTAGTTCAGACATTATCCTTACCTTGGCCATCTAGGTCCGAATGATCAGCAATTTTTGTAGAATTTTCCTAATTTTAGTTGATATTCTATTTGCTATTCTATCATTATTATTATTATTTAAACGTCTTTAATGAACTGTAAATCCATGGTGATCTTACTTAACAAATCGATATTATTTTAAAAACACACTAATATTGTTACTGACTACTAATCTAGATTATTCTATGTATATAAACATGCATATAACTGTAGAGCCGGAAGAGGAAATTATCGAAAAGGATATTTTTTGCTCAATTATTTTGTGTTTTATAAAATAATTTTTTCTGTATTTCTTGTTTTTTCACAGTGAAAAAAGATGTTCATCATAAACTTCTGTTTTGTATAAAAAAGTATACCAAATGGATTGTGTATCAGTTTTTTTTAGAATGAATTTTTTTTTAGAATTCTCTTAGAATGAACCCAGAGATATCAGCGTACCTAATGCCACCACTACTGGAGAAGGTGTGAAAGGAGGGAAAAGGTGTGTGCGGATTGGGAGGAAGACTACTTATTCAAACTGCCAAAGATAGGAGACTTAAATCAATGCAAGAATTGGCGCAGAATTATGCTCCTATCCATCCCAAGCAAAACACTAAGCCGCATCATCCTGGAGAGAATCAAACACGCCGACCTGAATGAAAAGCTTCCATTGGAACAATCAGTGTTCAAAAGGAACAAGTCATGCAAATTGCAACACTACGTATTATCATTAAAAACATAGCTTGCAATGGCAGTCAGCTCTCTACCTCACTCAACTTTATTGACTTTGGAAAGGCCTTCAGTAGACAGCGTCGATTGAGAGATGATTTGGGAACTGCTTCACTACTACGGGTGCCGCCAATGGCTAAATTATCCAGCCTGTGTACTTAACCAGAATGTGTTCAGAATGGAACATTGACGCTGATTAAATATACCCTTGGATTCAGTGAAATATGTAGTACTGTAACGACAGAAGACAAGGGCCAGCCAAACAGATCGTTTATTTAGATAATCAACTGATAATTATGTACATTATTGTTCATTATTGTTAGCAGAGAAACAGTGTCTTCTGATTGGTTGCTTTCTCGCCATTTATTTGAAGGTCAGACCATATATCTACTAATCGTATCTGCCCACAGAAAGTTTACTGCGATTGGTTGTTCAGTTCCTCAAGGTTAGGCTTTGTTCTTGTTTCTTCTCATGGCCAAGATTTGGGACGGAAACATTGTCGTAAATTACTGTCTATCAGTTTTGGCTAGCAGAAAGCTCTCACCACAGTAGGACTCCTGAAATACACAAGTAGTAATATAATTACGTCGAGAATAATAAAACATGCAAATCGATTAAAATTGTCAATACTAGAAAGAAAGAATGATTAAAAGTTGATGAGTCAATTTTCTGACAGGAATGTCATCAAGCTGACATTCAATTTTATGAATCTACTCATATACTATCTTTGTCTACATAAAGAGCTTACCTATTCAACTAAATAAAATAGTGAATTTTACTCAAAATACTATTCGTTGACCAGTGTAAGCTGACATATAACTCTATGGGAAAAGACTTTTGGGTGGTGGTCAAATCGAAACCTTGCATCGAATCCATGATGTCTTTGATACTTAGATTGAATTAGTCGGGTGAGGAGTTGTAGCCCTTCGGATTAGAATCTCTCAGCGGTTATCAGTCCTCATGTTTTTCCGTGGTACTATTCTTCCTCCCATACACTTTTGCTCATTATAGTTCCTGTAAATTTCCAATTTCCTTTCTCTTTTCCTATCTTGGTGTGGCATATGGTGTATGCGAAGTTGAACTGGTGCACTTCTGTACAGAGCTGTATGTTCAATATGCCTACACAGTTGCGGTGCTTTAGAAGCTATATCTCCAATATAAGCTGTAAGCATTGATTCTCAATCTCCAAAGAATTCCACTCATGCGTTCTATACCTCCTTATTTAGCTCAGGTCATTAGTTAATGAATTCATACTCTGCCGTCATATATTCATCTGATTACCACTGTGTTGAGGGCTGTCTGCTAGACAAAATTGATAGACACCAATTTACGTCAATGTTTACTTCCCAAATCTCAGTCATGAGAAAAAAAAACAAGAACAAAGACTAACTCAACAACCAATCACGACAGACTTTGCGTCGGTGGATGAGGTTAGCAGATATATGGTCTGACCTTCAAAGGAATGGCCACAAAGAGGATAACAGAGTAACTTTCAGTGACAAAACAACCTATTAGAAAACTTTGTTTCTCTGCTAATAATAACGCTAATAATAATGTACATAAAATCTATAAATATCTGTTGTCTTCCTCAATAAACGATCTGTTTGGCTGGCTCTTGTCTTCTGTTGTTACACCGGTACCTCTTCTTCAGTGTAATTCTATATGGGTTGTCATTTTTCATGGAGATAAACGTTGACTGGATACCGCCTAACACATGTCGTATTCATGTGAATCGATCCATTTTCACAAACTCACTAATTAGGATCCCATTCTTGGCTATTTTCATTAAACCTGACCATATTGCTCTATCTAAACAGGAGAGATTGAATGTAGGCACGTGTAGTCAAAATCTGGAAACTTTCTTTGTTACAAACGCTAGTTTAATAATAGGAAATTAATATTTTCACCTACTAATAGTTTCGCTCGAGAGAAATTTCATGTCTTACGCGGACTATATCATCTTTTTTCTGGGTTTTTTTGTTAATATCCTCTTCAATAGAATGATGCAAAAATGATTCAAGAGCGTAAAAATTATATCAGTAAAGCATTTGAATATATTTCGAATATAAATGAAGCGCATGAATTGAAGAAATCGAAATTTGTACAGACAGTAAGTCGTGTTTATTGGTTTTACATTTGTACTTTTCACGTGTTTTTTTTTGTTATCGTCTGTCAGAGATGCCTTTTTTCACTGAAGAATATCGTTGCATGTTTTAATACTGTCTAAAATAGGCACTGAAATACTGTGTATCTCTAGTTAACTGTCAAGTATGCAAAAAGAGGTATAACTCAGTTATGGATAAGATTTTATTTTGATGAAGTGTCACCCAGTGTTAACTGATGATGATCACCTTTCAAGCACAAATTATATCAAGTCACTCACTCACACACAACTCTCTTGCTTCATTTATACACATGAGTGGAATGCTTTTACGAAAGCGGTTAGTTACGCTGCTTCAAAGACTTCGAGTTCGTTTCCCATTGGCTTCAACTAGAAATTGCGCTCTTGTTTTCTTTGTTGCTGTCTTTCCTACTAGATCTGAGGTTTGGTTACACTACTTGCTGACTCTTCAACCTGGTCCACTTAACCTGATGTCCAGGTTGCCCTCAATACCAGCCCAACTGGTGAAGGGAGAATATAACTCTCGTGGCTGCTCAAAGGTGTATTCAAAAGCGATAACAGGGGTGGATTATAGAGATATACAATCACACCACAACGCCACCGCTGAACTCTTGTTGCTTGAAAACCGTGTATTGATCCCTATGTGTTTCAACCTGCACAGATGAACAAATTCATCTTTCAGGTATTGGTTTTGTAGGGATTTTGTTTGATTGCATGGAGGATTTAATCATGAGCTGACATCCGTTAGAGAACCACTGGAAAACCTGGGAGTACTGGACAGCTAGGACGAAACAGCTGTCCAGTACTCCCAGGTTTTCCAGTGGTTCTCTAACGGATGTCAGCTCATGATTAAATCCTCCATGCAATCAAACAAAATCCCTACAAAACCAATACTTGAAAAAATAATAGTAATCACTTTTGTTTATGCGGAAAGGGACCTTTCAATATTTTCATATTGCTCCTAATATATTTCTTTTATAAATAAGCCATAAAGTACCCCTACAAAACCAATAGTTGAAAATTAATCTGAGCTGACTAGCGACTGGCCTTATTCAGGCAGTTAACTTGGGGTTCTAGTGGGAAGCCGTGACTGGTAGGGTACAGCAGGTTGAAGATGAGGCAGTAACTCATCGAAGAAGACATTGCGAAATGCTCGCACTATGTCGTGAATTGGCAAAAATTAGAATTCATGAGGTGGCCATTGGATCGGGTCCCATCGGCTCAATGGTCTACAAGCTCGTCTTGTAATTAGAAGGTCGTGGGTTCGAACCCTTGTGGTGGGTACTGATGAAGAGTCCCAAACTAAGACGAAACAGCTGTCCAGTACTTTTAGATTTCCCAGTGGTTCTCTAACTAATGTCATCTCATGATGAAATCCTCCATGGTAATTCATCTTTAACGATGAGACCGCTTAGGTTCAGTTGATTTGACCAACTTCGTTAATGCCTTACACACACTTGCCTTTCCGCCTATTGGTACTGATTTCAAGTTCCACTCCACTTAATTCGGCCTGGATAACTAGGTGTAATCGTCAGCCGTTATACAAAATAATTGAGGATCATATAGCCTGGGTAACCTCTGTTAGGGTGTTAGGTACATACTGCTAAAGTGACCGTAGTACGATAGAAACAACTGTCCACTCTTGCCTATTTCTGAATAGCTGCAGTTCTTTACGAAGTCTGTCGGAGAATATAATCAAGTGTCTATAAACCCAACATTTGGCCCTAATAGTCTTTTGTGAATTTCTCCAGTGTTGTTAATAAATGACCAAGTTAGTTGTTATCAAGATAGTTGATGAAGTGATATCACTTAAGGAACCTTTGATAACCAGAAACCATTGAGTAGCCATTCCCTCCTAGCCTGGGACTCTTCAGCGATAGGTACCTGTGACCCAGCCGCCCCCCCCCCACTGGAGGTCTTTGGCGGACCTTAGACTCTGCTAGCTTAATATCCCATATTCGAATAGAAATAAAAAAATACCGAATCCGTAAAATTCCTAGAAGAATATATTAAAATTTGTTACTTGGGGTTATTACAAGGTCGAAAATCCACAATTAACACATAGTAGACTCCAGAAGTATTGTGCGAGGACTGCTCCAATCTTAATTCTCCACATATCAATATTGCCAGAGGTCGGCCAAGGTAACGTAGGGAGCAAAACACGGCGTTCCTGCGAAATTTTGAAATAGAAGATAGGTAATAATAATTGATCGATAACCGTTGAGATGGTGGAGAATACGGAGAGATGTAGGCAGCACTATATTTTCTTTCAAAAAAAAACGAGGTTAAGTTCAAAGGACAGAGATTCTGGTTAAAACAAAGTAATGTACAATATATGTTCGTTTCTCACATATAGTAGTAAAAGTTGGATACGTTTATTTTTGAGGACTCAGAATCTTCAGCTTACAAGGTGAGCTGATTCATGATTTAGCCAATAAAAAATATGCATGAACTCTAATTAATACCTTTTTGCAATATATGTAGTGTTAGTGGCGGTCAATGTCATCGGTGAACATTTGCTCTCACGAGTTACTTGGCTGACTCCACTGGTTGATAATGCCTTACTAGAACTGTAGGAACTCCATCTTATAGTCGGTCTTTAGTAACCATTAGGTTGGTTTTAACTTGTTGTTCCACTGCTGATGATTTACGCAAGAAAGTTGTTTGTTTATTGATGTGTTTCCAAAATATCCCATAATATGGCGTAGTTTCTTTTTCTTTCATATTTCGTTACGTTCTGAGTGGAGCATAAGACTTCAAGATTGAGCTTTGAGGCTTCAGTAGAGCTAGAGTTGCTCCCTTATCACTCAACTATCCATCTTTTCCTCGATTACTACCGGTAAAGCGAGATTTTGTAGCGCATCGGTTGGGAATCCAGCCCAGACGGCATGCGTGTCTCGCTAGCGTGCAGTCTATCACTCTGAAGCACCGATACACTAATATGCCATACATAATATGACGGTACACAAACTTGTCACAGTAGTTAATACCTTCACAACTTTTGTGTATATGTGTAAAGTATTCATCTAGCAAGAATTTTTTTTTTTACACTCATGATTTATTGGTGAAATATTGGTGCTAGAAGCACGTATTTTTTTTAATCTATGTTATGATGTGTATGTCTGCATACGCTCGTGTATTGTTTGTTCTGCTAAGACAATTAATTAACTGTACTAGTCCTAGCGACGGTGGCACAGTGGTTAGGACTCTCGCCGACCATGCACATGGTCCGGGGTTCGAGCCCACGCCGGCGCACACCTGATATCTATGGTCGGCCTGCAAAATTTGGGCTACCGATATCCACGCTGCAAATTCCATACTTGTACCAAAAATACATTGTGGAATCAAGCTGTAATCAAAAATTAAAAAAAATAAAAAAATTAGCTTTTTAGCTGTAGAGTCATACACCTTTTATGGATCATTTTGTTTAGTCTGAAAAGGAATGTATTTATTATTATTATTACTACTACTCTCATTAGGTGTATAAGCGGGAACTTTATTATGTTTTTTTTTTAAATTTGTTTTCCCTCCTTTTTTATGACAAATTGATGTGCTGCGTGAAAAGATGTAAAAAAAAGAAAATGAAGTGTAAACTTTGGCTTCACTGAGTCAGTCACATAATGTTTAGGAATGAAATTATCGTAGAATTTGTGTAAATTCATTTGTACGTACCTTTCGTGGAGATGGAGATTTGACTTTCAGTTAGTTAGTGGGAGACAGAGCTCGAATATCTCAGTGGTAGGTAATGTCTCTGACTGTGATACTAGGCGACTTGGGTTTGAATTTCAGGCGGGATATGAGACAACAGATGCACCTTGAAGACTGACTGGTGAATGCCGGAAAGCATGAAATCAGTGTTCAAAGCCTCCTGCTGACTGCTTCTGTAACAAGAGAAGACAAGGGTCAGGCAATGGATCGTTTATTGAGAGAATCAATGGATATTTATAGATTTTTATGTACATTATTATTAGCGTTATTATTAGCAGAGAAACAGCGTCTTCTGATTGGTTCTTTTCCTGTTGGAGATTATTCTGTCATCTGTTTGTTGCCGTTTCTTATACACTCTGGTTAATGTATCTGCGAATCGTATTCGCCCATGCAAAGTCTGTTGTGATTGGTTGTTGCGTTCCTCAAGGTTAAGCTTTGTTCTTGTTTTTTCTCCTGACCCCAATTCGGGACTTAAACATTGACGAAATTTGTTACATACAATTTTGTCTTGCAGACAGCTTTCAACACACAGCCAATGGTCTATTAATATGCTTTTTGTGTCGGTGGTTCAGCGGTAAGATGCTAGCTAATCATGGTTCAATTCCCAGCCGGCGTACGCCTTTACCAACTGCTCCCCCAGTCGGTTGTAAGGCGAACAAATAGGGAAGTTTGGATGTGAGGTAGCAACCCTATCCCGTAGAAAATAAACACTACTGCTGTTGTAACTTCAGAGCTTAAGCCTGACGCTCTGTATTCCACTGGGAATGCATAGGATTAAAATGGATTGTAAAAATAATGGGTGACAGGTTAGTATCCAGTCTTATATACTTACACTTAGGCAACTGGATGATAGTGTTACATGTCTGTTGTGATATATAGTCGATTCCTTGAATAATCTTTTCTACTTAATCGAATTCTAATGAGTATCAGGTTTGTAAAGATTGATTAATAGATATTTTCTTCTGATTAACAATTCTAAAGTTGTAAAGCATTTTTAGTTCATTGGTGGTGAATATTTACTGAGAGATACTGAGTTCTTTTGTTATTATTTCAAATCGAATGTACTCATGTTTAATCTATCAGACATGGTTATTTCTGGATGAAATCATTACGATTTTCGTGGTAAATAATATTTGAACTCTGAGATTCTAGACATCAGACGCCTAACAATGTTTGACTGATTGATTCGTTTCAACGTGGGACTTTGCACAGATGTGCACCAGTTCCAGTTGCCACTCTCCCTCCTTATGCGTCGGTGGCACATTGGTTAGGACTCTCAC